ATCCTAATATCAGATAAACTAGACTTTTTTTCCCAAGATTTATTTATTTGAAAGAGTTACGCAGAGAGAGAGAAAGAGAGAGAGAGAGAGAGAGAGAGAGGTTTTCCATCCACTGGTTCATTCCCCAATTGGTTGCAAAGGCCAGAGCTGTGCCGATCCAAATTCAGGAACCAGGAGCCTCTTCCAGGGTCCTCCACATGAGTGCAGGGGCCCAAGAACCCAGGCCACCCTCCACTGCTTTCCCAGGCCACAGCAGAGAGCTAGATCGGAAGCAGAGCAGCAGCTGGCATATGAATCCATGCCCACATAGGATGCCGGCACAGCAGGCAGTGGCTCTACCCACTATGCCACAGCACTGGCCCCAAGATAGATAAAATAGACTTTAACATAAAAACTGTTAAAAGAGACTAAGTAGGGTACTATTTAATGATTAAGGATTATAGAATGTAGCTATTATAAATGATATACATCTAATTACAGGGCACCTGGCTATTTAAAAGAAATGTTAAGGGTTCCAAAAGGAGACATAGACCCCACTTTCAGCAATGGGCAGATCAACCAGACAGAAAATCAGCAAGGAAACAGTAGTTAATTGACACTATAGACCAAATGGACCTAACAGATATCTACAGAACTTTTCATCCTACAAGTGCAGAATATACATTGTTTTTACCAGTGCATGGAACTTTCTCTAGGATTGACCACATGCTAGGCCATAAAGCAAGTCTCAAGAAATTAAAAAAAAAAAATTGAAATCATACCATGCATCATCTCAGCCCACAGTGGAATGAAGCTGGGAATCAGCTACCCAGGAATCCCTAGAATATATGCAAACACATGGAGACTGAACAACATGCTCCTGAATGGACAGTGGGTCATTGAAGAAATTAAAAGAATTAAAAAATTTTTTGGAAACAAATGAACATGGAAATACAACATATCAAAACTTAGGGGATACAGCAAAAGCAGTAAGAAGAATGTTTATAGCAATTGGTGCCTACATCAAGAAATTGGAAAGGCACCAAATAAATGAACTATCAATGCATCTCAAGCATCTAGAAAAACGAGAGCAAACCAAACCCAAAACTAGTAGGATAAAAGAAATGATTAAAATTAGTAAAGAAATCAACAAAGTTGAAACCAAAACAATACAAAATATCAGAAAAATGGAGAGCTGGTTTTTTTTAAAAAATAAACAAAATTGACACACATTGGCACCACTAACCAAGAAAAAAAAAGAGAAGACCCAAATTAAAAATATTGGAGATGAAAGAGGACATGTAACAAGACACCACAGAAATAAAATAATCTTCAGAAATTACTGCAAAGAATTGTATGCCAACAAACTGAAAACTTGAAGAAATGGACAGATTCCTGGACACATACAACCTACCTATATTGAGCCATGAAGACATAGAAAACCTAATCAGACCTATAGCCAAGATGGAAATTGAATCATTAATAAAGACTCTCCCATCAAAGAAATAAGAATATGTAATCACATTATTTGAGTATCAAACTGTAACTTAAATAATTAGAAGCTACCCGTAAATGTTGATGAACACATGAAATTTTGTTATATAGCAGTATTGCTTTTTTTCCATAAACATCTTATTATTCTATCACTTTTTTTTGGTAACCAAGTTATGTATGGTGATTTGTAACATGTTATCCTTCTAACACTTCTACTTTAACTGTTTTAATCAATTTGAGAAAGAGGAAACAGAATGAGATTGAAATTAATATATTATAATCCCAGTTAAAGGTTTCCCTAGTAAAGCTCAGTGGGATATTAAGGCTTAGAGCAAAGGAGGCAATAGGAAGCTCCTCCTCCTGTGTGAACTCAGCATCCCATAGTCACAGATGGACTAGTAAGACAGCTCCAGTCTTTGCTCTCCAGCTCATGTCCAGCCTGGAACTGAGCCCTGTATGCTGAACTGCCAAAGGAAGGAGTAGAAAGCCCTGTGCTTGAGCCCTAGGAATTTAAAAAAAACTTCCATTGCTGCTTGAGATAGAGTGAAATGCCAGGTGGAAAAAGAAGGTTCCAGTGCCATTTTCTGTCTTCAGCATTGGAATGGAAACCCAGAGTGCAGTGTCAAACTTTCCTTCTAGCACTTGCCTGCTTGGTCTTTTCTCAGCACATGGCAGTGTGTGTCTCACTGGCTTTGTTTAAGTGGATTTGACGTAGTAAGCTGGCAGGCATCACACATTTTTGATAATTATATATATAATACATATTATATATAATATATATAAATCTGCATTCAGAAAATATATAGCACACATTTTTGATAATTATATATATTATATATAAATCTGCATTCAAAAAATATATAGCAGACATTTTAACACATTGTCATAAGCAAAAGATTTCAAAAGTATACACTGAATATTTCAGGATAAACATACAGGTACTAGTATAAGGTTTGGTCTGATATAGCAAAATCATGAAGGAAGTTTGGGAACTATTATCATATCCGAATGAACTGAACGAGCAATTAGAATTGATCCTGGGCAGGCTGTTCCTCCCAGCAGACAATGTGCTTGCCCACATGACTGATGTCTTCTCCTTTTTCTAAATCCTCTATCTTTCTGCACTAATTTCCAGTGGAGCTGCTGATGGGTATTTTGCTTTTAGCTCACAGAAGACTCTAGGTACATAAGTTACACAGGACCCAAAGCTTAGAATTAATTATTTTCCTATTCCTTCTCACTAATTATGCCCAGTCATATTGTTGAAAAGTAACTCATTGGACTCTGAATGAATGTAAGGGATAGGTCAACAATATAAAAACATTCCACAGTTGAATATAAATATTTCATTTTTAAATTCCCTCTAAATTGCATTCCTTTATAAAAGAAAAGCCTATAGGACTCAGTGCCAATATCTTGATTCCCGGTTTTATACAAGTGGCTTAGTCTATGCAGAGTCTTAATCAGATACCTGGGCTCCTTTAACTGCAGCTGTATTGTGGTATGTCTTTCATTGGAATAGACTTAGCTTCTTTACTCTCTTCAAAATTAAGTTAATTAAATTCCCTACTTTGCTCACCCATCCAAGGGATCAGCAGTCACAAAAGAAACTACAGTTCCACTATAGATGTTATCACAGGCAAAGTTATGGTACCAGAATTAGGTAAGTGATGTAATAATCTCTTGGATAGTAAATGATTAGTAGTGTATGTATTGTAGCCAGCAAGGACCTGAGTATAACTGGGTTCCAGCCTCATGGAAGACCATTCTGTTGCCCTAGTGCAATGGTGCATCTTGTAAGCTATATCTACTGAGCCCATATTGCTCATGAGCAATTGTACTTCCATATGTTCATCTGAGTTCCGTGGGGGGGGGGGGGTATTGATGCTTCTAGGAAATTCCTCATGCATGTCCCTGAGCATGTGAGACATTATTCCTTTTTCTGTTTTCATTTCCTCATGTCTAGTTTCTCCTGCTTTCAGCACTTCAGTGCAGGATTGTGGTTAGTCTAAAGAAAACCTTCAGTCTCACATTCCTCCAGATATGTTCTCTCCAGGAGAGTGAAATTCACTTTTCTATGTAAAAACATGAGAAAAGGAGTAATGATGATCATCCTGTGCCCTCAGTAGTGTTTTAACTTAATAATAGATAGCATTTTATTTACTCTTTTAAATTTCATCACTCTTTCATTGACTTTTTATTCCTACTTAGATAGGTCAGGTTTGTCTCAGGTGGCCAGAAATGGACCATGGTTGAGTTTGTTTGTTTTTATTCTTGTTGTTTTTTAATTGAAATAGCAGGACCACAGAAATGGCCAGAAAGTCAAGGTTACTCTTGTCAAGAAAGAACACATCCACTACATTTAGTCAGACATTAAGGAGAGCCTAGATTTTATGGATTAAAAGAATCAAAAGTTAGTATTCCAAAAGTTTCAACCATAGAAAACATGAGTATAAGATAAATAGGCACCAGGAAATATGGACCTCAGGCAGAAATGTCTTCTGTTGCCCTCCTTTACTCCCTCCTATCTTAGTCGGGTATGACTATCAGTATAAGGAGAGTGGCTGTAGCTGGGGTGGGAATGATGTGCAGGGGACTTGGGAAGTAGAGCCAAGAGCTGCAACTGCAGAAATCTTGCCTTTTTGTTTTTGTCTTTTTCTTATTTTTAACTTTTAGGGGGTAAAATGAATACACACACATGAAAAAAATCAAACAGTGAAAAGTAAGCTCCCTAACTTTTTCCCCCCCACCCCTTTACTTCTAATTTAGCTCCATATCTTAAAACATCTTTTGTTCTGTTGGTAATCATCGCCATACTTCTAAGCATGTATTCATACTCCAACTTCTTGATTTTTAATTTAGATAGTGTCTTAGTCCATCCTGTGCTGCTAAAACAGAATACCACATGCTGGGTGATTTATAGGCATTAGAAATTTCTTTGGCTCATGGTTTTGGAGATTGGAGTGTCCAAGATTGTGGGGCCACATCAGACTAGGAACTTCTTGATGCTAAGCATGGAAGAATGTGGAAAGGCAAAGGATCAGTCAGCAGTCAACACAGAGCAAAACAGGGCTGAACTCAGGTTTATAATATCTCATTCCTAGAATAGGAAACCAGTCCTGAGATAAGGATGTTAATCTGTTTATGAGTGCAGAGTCATCATGACCAAAAAACCTCCTAGTAGATTCCACCTCAGAACACTCTTGCATCTGGCATTGAGTTTCCAGCACATGATTTTGGGTGACACATTCAAACCATAGCAAGTAGTGGCTATTGAAAGATGAGAGACTTGTTGTATTTCCTTATCTCTTTACTTGTAGTATTTCTTAGTCATATTATTTTTGTTCTGGTGGTTATTGTCATTTGAAAGAATATGTTTAAACTCTATTATTTGTTACATCAATTTTAGTATATCCCAATTCTTTGCCATATAAGGAGAAAACATTTGTGTCTGACACTACCTTCTATATCTCTTTGCTAACTTCACAGTCCTTTTTTTTTTTTTTTTTTTTTTTTGACAGGTAGAGTTATAGACAGTGAGAGAGAGACAGAGAGAAAGGTCTTCCCTCCATTGGTTCACTTCCCAAATGGCCCCTACGGCTGGCGCTGCACCAACCCAAAGCCAGGAGCCAGGTGCTTCTTCCTGATTTCCCATGCAGGTACAGGAGCCCAAGCACTAGGGCCATACTCCACTGCCCTCCCGGGCCACAGCAGAGAGCTGGACTAGAAGAGGAGCAACCAGGACTAGAACCCGGCACCCATATTGATGACAGTGCACGCCGCAGGCGGAAGATTAACCAAGTGAGCCACGGCGCCGGCCCCCACAGTCCCTTTTTAATGGTATCAGTATTAATACTAGTCAGATTCTCTTTCATAGATATTGTCTTCCATGCTTTGTTTATATGTTCACTCCACTCTATAAATTGAAATAGCATTTATTTTATTCCAATTACTGCATTACCCTTTACTGTTGGGCCAAATAGCATGAGTCTACCAGTTGAGGTAAAACATGTAATTTTATGACATGAAAACTGAATGATGCATCCCAATTGTCAGATGAAATGGGATTCATTAAACTCATCTCTAAGCCCTTCTAATAAATTATTGTTCAGCTAATGATAATGTTGATTTCCAAGAAATGAAACAGAAAACATTCTATCTTCTATTCTTTTGTGTTCTGAGCTCTGAAGAAGTAACTTTAAAAATAAATCAGTTTTTCTTCTGTTCTCTTAATTAACTACTTTCCTAAGGAGGATTTAATTCTTTTTTTTTTTTTTTTTTTTTTTTTTTTTTGACAGGCAGAGTGGACAGTGAGAGAGACAGAGACAGAGAGAAAGGTCTTCCTTTGCCTTTGGTTCACCCTCCAATGGCCGCTGCGGCTGGTGCACCACGCTGATCCGAAGGCAGGAGCCAGGTGCTTCTCTTGGTCTCCCATGTGGGTGCAGGGCCCAAGCACTTGGGCCATCCTCCACTGCACTCCTGGGCCATAGCAGAGAGCTGGCCTGAGAGAGGGCAACCGGGACAGAATCTGGCATCCCGACCGGGACTAGAACCTGGTGTGCCGGCGCTGCTAGGCGGGGGATTAGCCTATTGAGCCACGGCGCCAGCTTTAAGGATTTCTTATAGTGTTCCACTTTAATGTTCTCATTTTCACTGATGATTCCTAAATTTTGTGAGTTCTTTTTTTGATCCATATGAATGATGGGAAGGGTTTATCCATACTGTAGTATGGATCACAGGGCCTATGTACACGAAAGCTAGAACTACTGTTTCAGTGTGCATTTGACTATTATTGTCATTTTTTACAATTATTTTAAAATTTTCAACTATTTAATCAAAATATTATTTACTCTACTTGGTGTTTTAGCACTCCTTCAAATTTGTCATGCCGGGCCTCACTCATCTCACTGAAGTACCTGCCATGAGACGAGGGCCTGAAAAGTGAAGCAAAACTTCCAGTTATGGTCAGCAGAGGGCAGAAGAGGCAAGTAGCAAGTGTTTGCCGTCAAGATTTAGGATTCCTCCACTTGTCAGAAGCAAAAAACAGTTACTGGTACAAAACAGTGTAATACATATTAGCAAAATTGATATTTTGAGAATTGATTACTGTTTACAGCCCTTGTCTCTACTGTTCTGGAACAGTGGGCTTTTTTTTCTTAATTTTTGTTGACTATTTTACTTAGTGGAGGATTAATCTTATGATTATAAAATAAACTGAGTGTATTGTAAAAATTAACGAATTAAGAAAGGAAGGAAGAGGGAAATTAGGAGAGTGGGCAGGAGGAGGGGAGAAAGTATCACTATGTTCCTAAATCTGTATATATAAATACATGAAGTTTGTTCACCTAATATAAATTAAAAAAAAATTGTCAAAAAGAAATCAGTTATTGAATGCAAGGGGCCAAAGTCGTAGAATCAGTAGGAAAAATTAACAGTGACCCAGCGTGGAAGTTCGGTCGACCAGGCAGTGGACACTGTTGTTAGAAGGGGCTACAGTTGCCAGCCTGGAATCTGTTACAGAGATGGGAACAAGTAGACATCAGAAGAGTCATCATTTAGAGCCCTTTCTCAGTCCTGACGGCTACCCCCAGCCTATCTAAAGCTGCTTAAAGTGACAGGCCTCTAAGAACAGCCCTGGGAGTATATGCAAACCAGCTGGCTAAGAGCTGGCCACAACCCTGAGGGGTCCAGATGCAGCCCTGTGAGTAAGTGGGTGTGAATGAACTCCAAATCCAGATGCAAAAGGTGGTGAGGCATTTCTCAGGTATATGCCAATTAAATAATTTTCAAATGTACTTAAACGTGATATGGTTCAATATATGAAAATTTTCCCTTCTCTATGGAGGAAAACATAATTTCATTGTGGAAACACTGTGTGACTTTGGAATTTAACAAACCTGATTCTGAATTCTTCAGTCTGTGGTTCTCAGTTGCTTAACTCTACTGAGCCCCATTTTTCCATCTGTAAAAATGAAAGTAATGATTTCTGTCTCACAAAGTGATGTTAAGGAAATGAGATGATGTCCATAAACTGTGTGGCAAAGATCATGGCACCTTATGTGTAATGGATTTGATTTACCACCACTTGTTCTCTCTCCCTTCTCTTTGGAATGGATAAACATCTGTTTGCTATTTTGCGAAGTAAAGTCTTCTTGTCTCCTATAAGCATACCTGATGTTAATGGAGGACTTACTATGTAAGGTATCATACTAAGTTTCTGTAGTATTATCTCATTTAATAGTCATGACAACCTTCTGAGATACTTTGGCCATCATCTCTGCTTTGCCAATGAAGACACTGAGGCTTCAATAGAATAATTGATTTTCCCGGTGTACCATAGTAAATAATGAAAGGGGGTTCAAAACCACCTACAGTGATTCTAAAGCTTGTGCTTTTGTCATGACACAACCTACTTTTTGTATATAGACCTTTCTTTATCATCCATTAAAAATTCAAGGGAAAAGTAGACTTTAAAAAATTTCATCTTTGTAATTTGCTTAAATGTTGATATTATTAGCATTGCATCACCTTATACGATCTCTTCTATTGGATGTTTAGGGTGGGAAGTTTAGTATTAAATGAAATAAATGAAAATAGATTGCTATGGACTGAATTGTGTCCCCTCCCCCCTCCTCCCCAATATAGATTTCCTATATTGAAGCCCTCATCCTTCTCTCTCTCTCTCTCTCTCTTTCTTTCTCTCTCTCTGTCTCTCTCTCTGTCTCTCTCTGTTATATAACGATTCAGTGAGAAGACGGTGTGTACAAGCCAGAAAGACAACATATAACAGAAACCAATCACACTGGCATCCTGATCTCAAATTCCCAGCCTCTAGCTATGTAAGAAACAAATTTCTGTTGTTTAAGCCATCTAATCAAGGGTATCTTTTAATACAAACCAAGCTTACCAAGTTACAGACTGTCACGGTTATACCCTTTCAGAGCTCCTGCATTAAATTTTTATTGGATTATATTTTTCTTTCCATTTTTTAAAAAATGATTTGTTTATTTATTTGAAAGGTGGAGTTATAGAGAGAGAGGAACAGATATTCCATCCACTGGTTCACTCCCCAGATGGCCACAATGGCCAGGGATTGACCAAGCCGAAGCCAGAAAGCCAGTAGCTTCATTCAAGTCTCCCACCTGGGTTCAAGAGTCCAAAGACTTGGAATAACTTACTTCTTTCCTATGCACATTAGCAGAGAGCTAGATTGGAAGTGGAACAGCCAAGATTCAAACCAACACCCACATGAGATTGCCAGCATCGAAGGTGGCAGCTTAACCTACTGCACCACACTGCCAGTCCCTCCAACTTTTTATGTTGTGGTAAAATGCATATAATGTAAAATTTACCATCAGATAATTTTTCAGTGCAGTCAGTGGTACTAAATTCATTCATGATATTGTACAACCGTCTCTACCATCCATCTTTACAACTCTTTTCATCTTGTGAAACAGAAACTTTGTGCCTATTGAACACTAACTGCCTTATACCTCTTCCCCCAGCTTCTGCCAACCACCATTCTACCTTCTATCTCTGTGATTTGACTCCTCTCAGTACTTCATATAAGTGAAATTTTACAGCTTTTGTCTTTTTGTGACTGACTCAGTTCACTTAAATTAATGTCCTCAAGTTTCATCTATCTTGTAGCATTGTCAGAATTTCCTTCCTTTTTAAGACAGTACTATACCATTGTAGAAACACCACATTTTGTTTATCCATTAATCCATCAGTTGCCTCATGGTTTACTTCCATGTTTTACACATTGTGAATGTGTACAGGAATATATAAGTAGGAACAGGAGTATATAAGTATTTCTTCTAGACTGCATTCAGTTACCTTGGTAATATACCCCGAAGTGTAATGGCTGTATCTTATGATAATTTCTGTTTTTAAGTTTTTGGGAAATCACCATAGCGTCTTCCAGTTACTGTCTATTCTTGCAGGATAGAGTATTTTATATACATCTGATAGATCTAGTTAGTTTATTTTGTTAAGTATTCTGTTTTCTTATTTTCTGTCATTGAATTCATTAACAGTGGGATTCTGAGGTCTCTGATGATTATTATAAACATATGTGCTTACTCCTTCACTTGTCAGTTTTTGCTTCATGTATTTTGATGGTGTGTTTTTGGTTCATAAATGATTATAATTGTTCAATATTCATGGTGCATTGAAACTTTTAGATTTATAATACCTTCTTTTATCTCTTGCTTTATCTTGGACTATCTTTTTTCATGCTTTCATTTTCAATCTGTTTATATCTTTAGATCTAAAGGTTCTGCTGGTACAGTTGTGGTCAAGACAGAATCAGACTCCTGGGACTTTCTTCTCTTCCCAGAATTCTCTCAATAATGGGATTTCTGAAGAAATTAAGGGTGACATACATGACTAAGGACAGTTCCTAGATCTTTCTAACAAAATGTTTTCTTCCTTTGCTTCAGTACAAGGGGAAGATGATATCAGAACATCACATTTTTCTAAATGGGTGCCGAAAAAAGTCACAATCCTGGTTATAAAGAATCATTGGGAAAAAATTGATTAAAAAAAGGGATTTGGGCCAAGCATTGTGATGGAGCAGGTTATATCGCATCTTGGAATGTCTTCATTCCATATCAGAGTGCTTGGTTTGAGTTCCAACTAGTCTGCCTCTAATCCAGCTCCCTGCTAATGTGCCTGGGGGGCAGCAAGTTATGGCTGCGGTACTTGGACCCCTGCCACCCACATGGGAGACCCAGAAAGGTTTCCAGGCTCCTGGCTTCAGATTGGCCCAGTTCTGGTTGTTGTGGGCATTTGGGGAAATGAACCAGCAAATGGAAGATCTTTCTTTGTCTCTCTGTCTCTCCTACTCTCCCTGTCACTCTATCTTTCAAATACATAAATGAAGCTTTTTAAAGAAAGGGTTTTTTTTTTTTTAAATAAAAGTGTGACTATTTAAATTTATTTATTTATTGGAAAGGCAGAGACACAGATGGAGAAAGAGGGATCTTCTATCCTCTGGTTCACTACTCAAATGTGCATAATAGCAGTGGCTGGGGCAAACCAAAGTCAGAGCTAAGAATTCAATCCAGTTATTGCCTCCTGCTGCTTCCCAGGGTGTGCATTAGTAGGAAGCTGGACTCAGGAGCAGAACCCACACTCAAACCCAGGCACTCCAAAAAGGAATCTGCCCCATCTTAACACCATGCAAAATTCCCACTCCTATGAATTTTGTTTCTTAAAACAGAATCTGGTCTATAAATATTAAAATATTAATATTAGTAGAGGTCCATGATGAATTTGCAAAAAGGAAGAGGCTGTACTTAGCCCACACCCTCTCTAGATAGCACTGTCATTCTGTTTATTTACCAAACAATATGTAAATGGACCAGCATTATTGTGCAGCAGGTTAAGTGACCAGCTGTAACAACACTATCCTTTATCGGAGTACTGGCTGCTCTGCTTCCAAACCTGCCCACTGCTAATACATCTGGGAATGCAGCTGATGATGGCCCAAATAGTTCTGCCCCTGTCACCCAAATGGTAGACAAGGGTAGAGTTCCTGGATCCTGGCTTCAGCTAGGGCCAGTCCATTATGGTCATTTGGGGAAGTGAACCAGAGGATAGAAGATCTCTCAGTGTCACTCTGCATTTCAAATAAATAGATAAATCTTCAAATAAAAAATAATTTGAAAACAATGAAAGACGAATTTTGATTAGATCACAAAATGAAGATGACTGTTAACTCAATATCAGTGGAATTAAAAAACAGGTCTATTGCCAAGCATATAAGGGTACATCTCTATTTTAGGATTGAGGAATTCTAGCATCCTATAAATTTGCGTAGTTCCTTGGGGCTTTTACTTCGCTATAAAGACTGATGACATCATCGCCCTCCTCTCTTCCTCCTGAATCTCTTTTTCCTCTCTTCTATTCTCCTCCCTTCCCTCCCCTCCTCTTTTTTTCCTCTTCTTTCTTCTACTGCCTCCTCATTATCCTCCTGCTTTTCAGAGACTAACTATTGTAGGTATTTAAAAATTAAATGAAATAACCTGTATAAAATATTTACAAGTGCTTGGCACATGATAGGTAGTCAGTAACTGTTGTAGGAGAATGGAAAGTTTATGGCTTTCAGGTAACCTCGTCATTTGATTTCAAGAAAGTATATAATTTTGATATTTTCTTGAGCTCAAGAAAGAATTGTTGAAATAACTATGTGCAGGTCAATGTATGTATATGAGTTTCCAGAAAGTATGTAAAATGCCTATACACATAAATATTACCAATAGAAGATTTAACAGCCTGTAAAAACAAGCAGATGTGTGTTTGTCTTTCCAATTGCACTTGTAATTTTAGTTTGATAACATTTACAGTTGCTATGAGACAAATGATTTTACTAATCATTAATGTTTGATAACACTCTCCAAATAAACATAGAGAAAAGATGTTTAAATTGGAAAGAAGCCACTTTACATCATGTGGCATTTTTCAGTGTTCTCTAATCTATAAGTACAGATTGTCCTTCAGGTGTGCTACCTGCAAAATTATCCATATTTCATAAATGCCACTGAAGAGTTTTAGCTTTAACTGTTCCATAACACACTGAAGTCAGAGACATTTCCATATGAAGCCTCTTGGATCTCATTTTAGCAGTAGTGTTTCCCTAAGTAGCCCTAAATCATAGGGAGTCCCAGAATCCTGTACGCCATCACTTCTCGACCTTTTGGCTAAGATCAAGTGCAGAATGCTGTACCCAGATTCGTCAGCCTCTGTCATAAGGCTTATAGCTATTTAAATCTAAGATCCATCTGAGCATTCAATTTGTAAATTAAAACAGGAAGTGTATCAGACATCTAAGGTGGATTGGTCAAGAATTGTCAAACAGCAGTTTCACTGCTGACACTGTTGGTCACCTTCTGACTCCCAGCAGACAAATGGGAGGGTTGCTCATCATTTATGCATGAGACCTTCTGACCTTGTTTTGTTTTTTAAATTGGGTTCAATCTGTAGGCTAAAGTATTTTTGTTTTGGCCATCATCTATGGGAAAATGGTATGAACCAATTTTTTTTACCTTATAAAAATATATATTAAATGACTTTCAAAACAGTTGCCAACCTAGCATGTAAGAATAAAGCATTGAGTATTGTGTATAGCAAGACATTCATGTGATAAGTGTATGAATTTACAACCATATATAATATCTATATATATTTATATAAAAAACAAGCTTGGCTAGAAGTTAAGGTTACTTACAAAGTTGTCCTAGTAATTATATTTGTCAAAGTAATTATAAAGTTAAAATTTCAAATGCATTTTTATTTATTTATTTTTAAAGACTTATATATTTACTTGAAAGTCAGAGTTACACAGAGAAAGAAGGAGAGGCAGAGAGAGACAGAGAAGTTTCCCATCCGCTGGTTCACTCCCCAGTTGGCCACAATGGCCAGAGCTGTGCTCATCTGAAGCCAGGAACCAGGAACTTCTTCTGGTTTCCCACGCAGGTGCAGGGACCCAAGGACTTGGGCCATCTTCTGCTGCTTTCCCAGGCCATAGCAGAGAATTGGATCAGAAGTGGTGCCCATATGGAATGCTGGCACTGCAGGCTGCGGTCTTACCCTCTACACCACAGCTCCAGCCCGTCATGTGCATTTTTAAATCATGTAAGCTACTTACAAAATCAGGTTCATCATCCAAAGTGTTCAAATTAACTGTAAGAAAATGCTGCAATCATATATATCTTCTTAATGTGAAATCAGTGTTCCTAGAACATTCATTTAAATTTTTCAGTAGCCTTACAAGTGATGTAACTAAAAACTGAAACTTTTACAATTTCATATCTACTATTCTTAACAGAGAATAGGTTACAGAAACCAAATCTTCAGAAAGGAAATTTGAAAAAACCTATGCTATAGAATCTAGAAAATCTTATTACAAACTAAGATTGATATGTATTTTTAAATCCCTCTACTCCAAATTTCTGTATTTTTGGTCTGTCTCTTGAAGAAAATGTTATAAATATATCATGTACTTTTTAATCTTTGCTCAGTCCCTTCGATTCTTTTAGAAGCAAATAAGACATGAATAGTAAATGAATGAGCAGTTCTCTCAAAAATCTTTAAAATCAAAGAAGATACCACTGAATGTCCTATGGATGGCTGTGTAGTGGACAAAGTTGGTTAGGCAACACCGGTGTCGTGTGGTACTTTTTCTTCAGCTGTCCTTGATGGACTTGGTAGTTACCTTCCAGTAAGCACCACAGCTCAGTACTGTAGTCTGGCTTTGGTATGGGACACTTTTTCTTAATCTGGGACAGATAGAAAACTGTCATTAAGTTTTTAATTTCTTTTGGAAAAGGAATCATTTTAATGTAATCATCTAATAAGCTATTGGCTCACTTTTTGACCTTTACTGATTTGCATTTATCTAATACTTCACCCACAGAGGTTTCCACAATATGTGCAAATGGATGCAAATAGTGTGAACTAATAAAGTAACTTCCTTTGTTTTTGAGCAGTGATCTTTTTATCAGGGCTCTGTGAGCTACTTAGAGTGTAGAGATTCAGGGACCTTAGGAGGATTGAAGGTGCAAGACTCTCAGGCCCCTCCCATCAAGACTCAGGTATTTATTTTTTCAAGCTACTAGACTATATCTTCCTTCAACAAGTATTGTTAAATAGTGGACTTAAGTTTGAAAAATTTCTATTATGTTCTAAAATGTATTACCTAAAAATAGTAAATAATTTTACAAATTAAATTAATTGTATCAGTTACTACTAGGTTGCCTGAATCGCTGTGTAGCCGATTATTATATTTGGTGTCTCTAGAGAGGTGACCATCTTAAATAAAGGTTTGATTCATGGAGTGTGGTTGAGTTTTCCACAACCCCTATTGAAACTGGTATGAGGAACAGGAATGGGGCTCTGTACCCTAAAATCACAAACCAAAACTTTTGTGTTCACAGGGATCATGCAACCGATGCCTGCTGCTCTGAACAGAAATGCACCTAGTGTCATGCATGTTTTTACACTTTGAGAGTTCATCATAGGCACTCAACACTCTTCTTTCCTCTCCTTCTCACTTCACTCCTGTAAAGTCTCACCCATCACCATAAAGTTGAGAAAATTAAATGTTACCAAGCTGTTAATTTACTCAATTGTATGATGGAGATGATGTCTTAAGGAAAATATTACCAAAGCTTACTGGGAAAACAGACATGCTTGTACTATTCTGTGCCTGTCTTCTTTTACTTGACAAATTTATCTAAAGGTTCTCAGGTTCTATTGCTTAATGACTTCTTGCAGGTGAAAGGATGCAATTTATTTGAGAATATGCGGAATCATTGATGAGAGGGTTAGAGGTCTTCCATCCATTGGCAAATGGCCGCTACGGCCAGCGCACTGCGCCAATCCAAAGCCAGGAACCAGGTACTTCCTCCTGGTCTCCCATGAGGGTGCAGGGCCCAAGCACTTAGGCCATCCTCCACTGCCTTCCTGGGCCACAGCAGAGAGCTGGAATGGAAGAGGAGCAACCAGGATAGAACCCGCCGCCCCAACCGGGACTAGAACCTGGGGTACCGGCACCACAGTTGGAGGATTAGCCAAGTGAGCCGCGGTGCCGTCCAGCCACTTTTTTTTTAATAAAAGGGAAATGTGTATACTGAGTTTATACCCATGACATTGATTATAAAACTCTGAGACTGTATATGGCATTAACAACAATGCAAGGTACCTAGTGCAGTAGTCAGTTTTCCATCATCATTATTCTGCAAACCAGCAATGAGTAAGAAGATTTGGTGTCCATGTGCATATAGAATTTGGAGGCTAAGGTGAGAAGAGTCACTCTCCTGAAGAAGCAAGTCCTAAGAAGATGTAGAAGTGAGCAGTGGTGGACCTGTTGCTGTTAGAAAGAAAATATGACGGTCTCTGCTGGAGCTTATTGTTTTCATGAGTTAAACATATAGTCACCATGTGACTTAGCACTTCTACTCCTGGATATAGACCCAAGAAAAAATGAAAACATAAATCCACAAGAATCTTTGTGCACAAATGTTCTTATCAGCATTATTCATAATAGCCAAAAAGTACCAACAAACCAAATTTTCCTCAGTTGATAAATTGACAATCAAAATATGATATAGGTTATGGAGATCGAGTGACTGCTTAATAAGTACTACATTTGCTTTCGGGGTAATGAATATATTTTGGAGTGAGATAGTGAATGTACTCACTATCACGATGGTCACTTTTATGTCATATGAAGTTTACCACAACTCTTTTGAGAGCTAATAAGGGGTAAGTCTGTATTTGACTAAGCTTTGAAACATTTCCAGTTTGGATATTAAATGCTTCAGGGATATATAAGAAATAATATTAATCACCAGTAGTTTAACAGTAGATTAATTGATTTTTGCCAGGATCACAGGAAGAATAAGTTTTCTAGGAGCTCCTTTAACATATTGCAATTTATTATATACCTGTACAGTAAAATAAAATACTGTGGGATTTTTTTGTTTGTCTCCCTAAAAAGGTTGTTCTTTTCTTGGCTGAAAAATGTTCAATCCAAATGCCAGTCCAGTGTCATTTAATCCAAATAATATTTTTAGCATATGGATAGCACATCAAGCTATAAAAGTACTCAAGTTTAATTATCCCTTTTTTAATTATGGAAACTGAAGCTTATAGCAGTTATTTGACTTTCCTGTCATAACATAGATGGCACCACATAGTTGGAATCAAGTGTTTAAATTCCAAATCAGCTTTTCTTTCACTGTAAGTCATACTTCCCGTCACGGTGATATGCTGTACCAGAGCAGAGTCCAATCCCAGCTACAATAGTGGCACCACATCTCTCTGTCCTCATCAGCAACAACTGGTTGCTGCTGTGTCTCTATGCAACAACAGTCTTAACATGGTATCATCAGTATTTTATGTTGTTTAATTTTTTCTCTTATTTTTCTAATTGCACTTCTATAGAGATAAAGAAAAAATGGCCCTCTTTCCTTTAAGGATATTTTGCTAATACACATATATTAAAACTTTAGGTTTTGATTAAAGAATGCAAACCTCTGTAAAGCAATGTCCCCCAATCCCTTCCTTGTTATTTACACTTGCTCCAGCTACTGCTGTAGACAGTGTTCTTTCACTTACATGCATGTTTTCTTTCTTTATAGAATGTTCCAATTCCTACTTTCACCTTTTCATTCTCTCCAACCTGTGGCTTTGTAGCTAACATTTTTCTTAAAACATATATTAAATTTCCACAAGCAGAGGTTACTCTTCAGAGTTAGTCTCAAGGTGGCTCCTGTCTCCTACCCTTGAGCTCAAGAAAGTTCCAGGCCCTGCAATACAGACTGGAATACTTTAAGGAGTGGATATGCTGCCCAAATCTGAAATCACAAAGCAACAGGTTATTTTTCACAATTCTCAAGGCCACAGTTGGCACTGTGTGAAATCAAAGAACTTAAGATACATTTGTTTAGGAAAATCCAGTTAAAAACTGTCATGGCCAACTATCATGCCATGTTGTACAGGTAGTCACAATAAAGAAAAATAAAGTGAATTATAAAGCATTGGCTTTTAACTTTTTTTTAGTACCATTTTAAAGCCTGTAGATGTCCACTTTAGCATTTTTCTCCTTTAAGCATTATTTATCAGAGGATACAGATCTCATTATGGATTTATGTGATGTTATAAACCCACATGTACAGTACATATTCTAGATTACATATTGTCTTATTTTTTTTTTAAAAAAAAGTCTTTCTTACTTCAATTAGTCTAATAGATATCATTGCATGATCCTGTTCTTCCCTTTCAAGTTATTTTCTGCAGATTGTCTTCCTATTGTTTTGGAATACTCTATCAATATGAGGGGTAATAGCTACTTTAGATCCCTTAGTTGGGAATGGAACTTAAACTTCTAAAATTTCAATCTTCAATTTTAGATTCTTGGTCTCATTAAATTTGCAAAATGAAAAATCTAAGTGCAATTCCTGACAGAGAAATTGTTCCTTATATAATTGTGTTTTTAAAATTTTTTTATTTTTTTGACAGGCAGAGTTAGACAGGGAGAGAGAGAGAGAGAGAGAGAGAGAGAGAGGTCTTCCTTTCTGTTGGGTCACCCCCAAATGGCCGCAATAGCCAGAGTGCTGCGGCCAGTGCACTGCTCCGATCTGAAGCCAGGAGCCAGGTGCTTCCTCCTGGTTTCCCATGCGGGTACAGGACCCAAGCACTTGGGCCAACCTGCACTGCACTTCCAGGCCACAGCAGAGAGCTGGACTGGAAGAGGAGTAACTGGGACAGAATCCAGCGCCCCAACTGGGATTAGAACCCAGGGTGCCAGCGCCACAGGTGGAGGATTAGCCAAGTGAGCCGTGGTGCCGGCCCCCTATATAATTGTTTTAAAAAACAAAAATAGCTATGATAACTAGTTCCTACTCTGATTTGACTAGAGTTGAATGTATGAAATGCAAAGAAATAAAGTCAAACATAAAAGCACAACTCAGCAGGAGAGGGAGAGAGTCCAGCTCCTCCTTTTTGAGCTATCTTCTCCATTATGGAAAGAGCCTCACGATGTTGAGCCCTGTCTGAATTTGCATTCTTTCTGTTTCTGGCCTAAACTGCTATATTTTGAGTGTCACAACTCCTTTATTAGAAATATATACTTTCCTGAAATTCTTTATCCTGGCTTCGTAGTATGTAAAGGAATGAAAATAAATTATAATTCAGGGTTTGTATACTCCATTTGCTATACTTTGTCATTACTAAAAAGCAAACACTGCCTTTAGAACATGGGTAATAATTTGATAATTATTGCATAATTATTTGCTTTAAAATGTTAAATTTATGGCTGGCGCTGCAGCTCACTTGGCTAATCCTCCGCCTGCGGCGCCGGTACCCCAGGTTCTAGTCCCTGTTGGGGCACCAGTTCTGTCCCGGTTGCTCCTTTTCCAGTCTAGCTCTCTGCTGTGGCCTGGGAAGGTAGTGGAGGATGGCCCAAGTGCTTGGGCCCTGCACCCACATGGAGACTAGGAGGAAGCACCTGGCGCCAAGCATGACAGCCATTTGGGGGTGAACCAACGGAAGGAAGACCTTTCTCTCTGTCTCTCTCTCACTTTCTAACTCTGCCTGTCAAAAAAATGTTAAATTTTTAGCAGTTTTTAAAATTTCCTGTTTACAATCTAGAACTACAATAGTAAGAAATTCAGATATAATGAATGATACTACCAACAATTACTACCAATGCCAGGAATAATTTTAAATTATTTTCTAGCTAGTTAATTTTCATTTAAAGCCAACTTTGAATCCTAAGATTCATATATTTTCTTTTTTCTCTATTTTTAAAAATATTTATTTACTTATCTGGAGGTCAGAGTCACAGAGAGAAGGAGAGAGAGAAAAAGAGAGAGAGAGAGAGAGAGGGAATCCTCTGTCGGCTGGCACACTCCCCAGAAGGCTGCAATGACCAGGTTATGCCAGGCTGAAGCCAGGAGGCAGGAACTTCCTCTGAGTCTCCCATGTGGGCTGAATTTCTTGGGCCATCTTCCTCTGCTTTCCTAGGTACATCAGCAGGGAGCTAGATCAGAAGTGGAGCAGCTGGGACTCTCATTGGAGCACATATGGGATGCTGGCCCTGTAGGCCATGGCTTAACCTACTGTGCCACAATGTCACCCCTATATTTTCAAATTTATATACAAAAATATACACATAAAGTGTGTTTTATAATATACCACCCATTATCAGAGAGCTGATTATTATTATATCAAAGACATACAGACTTTTAGGAATTGAAGGCAGCACAGATATAATATTAGTCTGTATGTGAGTATTTGCCTATATTCTCATTCCAAGTTTCATGTGAACTGAAAATCATAGCATAATAAAATTTTAGTGCAACTTTAGAGTATTAATAATATTCATTTTATTGTATATATAATTTTAATAAAAAATTTCAAACTGCCTCCACTGGATTGTTCTATCTGGATTTTCTATTCTGATTCCTTTTCTCCCATGCCTATTTACTTGATTATTAATCAAGACTAAATTTCAATATGAATAAATCTAAAGGATATTTTTGTTATAAATTTTTAATAAATATTTATTTATAAGACAGGAGAGGAAAGACAGAAAGCAGACACATAGACACACACATAAAGAAAGTGACCAAAAAAAAAAAAGAGAGAGAGAGAGAGTGAACTCTCATTAACTTGTTCAGTTTCCAAATTGCCCACAATTTCCTTTGCTGGGCTGGAACAGAGGCCAGGAGCCAGAATGTAACCCAAGTCTCCCATGTGAGTGATAAGAATTCAATTACTTGATCTGTCACTACTGCTTCCCAGGGCAATTACTTGAGCCATCACTACTGCTTTCCAGGGTCTGCATTATTAGGAAGCAAGTCAGGATATGTAGCTAGGAAGTAAATTCAGATTTTATGGTATGGGACATGAGCATCTAAAATGCTAAGCTAAATGTCTCCTCTGCTCCTTTTTAGAAATTTTGACATGAAGAACACCTAACTAGATGCCATTATCACCTGGATGCTGGTTCTAACAATGTGATAGCTGATACCTGTAACTAATTAGTAATGAGGGAGACAAGATTTGGATGAAACCATGGATTTGGGGACATTTGGGTACATACCACTTTCAAAAAATTTATTTGAGAGACAGAGAGATAAGAAGAGACAAATAGAAAGAAAGAGAAAAAGATAGCTTCCATCTGCTGGTTCACTCCCCAGATTCCAAAGCACCCTGGGGACTGAGTTCTGAAGCCACAAACTTCATCCAGTTCTCCCATGTGGGTGGTAGGAGCCTGGTTACCTTGCGCTATCACTGCTGTCTCCCATGTATGTATTGAATCAGAAGCAGGAGCATGTGGGTATTCTAACTGTTGTCTTCAGTTGTAGGCTGACCACCCATCCCAATATCACTTTACCCCATTTTGCTTTTGAGTGAATTTCTGGTCCTTTATGTTTTGCTAGGGCTGGTCTATGTTGTTAAAATATTTTTGTTGGAAGGATGGGCATATTGGAAGATGAGATTGCACAGGGGTTAATGTAATGTCCACACAATTGAGAATTGTTATTAAAGAGAGACATTCAGATTGTCAACAACTGAAGGAACCAATTATATAGCATAGCTCCTATTAGAAGATTCTCTAAAAATATAAATATTACTTGGTACTATGACATGACATCCAAGATTTGTATTTAAATTTTGTCTGAATGAGTTATATAATCAAAATATGTAAAAACTCAGGGCAATGAGACTTTGACAAATAAATCATTTATGTACTGGTGAAATTTAATAATACATTTAAAGGAAAATTGAACTGTGAACTGAGTAAAGCAGGCACCTCTGCATTGATTTCTAACCTTTATGATGTGCATGGCCTGAATAAGAATTAAATCTTGGAAGAGAATGAGAGATTATAGCAGTGGGGTTGAGAACACTGATTTAAAATAAATAAAATTCATTTTATTTCATATGTGGGATTTCCAGATAAGAAAGCTTCTATTTTAATAAAAAGTTGCAGATAGTTAACTAGCTATTGGTGCCCACTTTAAGGGATTCCAACATTTTGTCCCCAACCCCTACCTTAAAAGAAAAGATTTTTGTTAGATGTTACTTCCCATTTGCAAAAAAATAGAGCAAATTTATCTCTGTTATTTTGTGTGTATGTGCACTTGTGTGTGTATGTCTGATCACCTCTATACCTGGGACAATGCATAATGGCAAGGCCATGTGTTTTAATCAAGAATCAAGGGAAAAATGGTGCCTTTCAACAATAACTCCATTTGATTCATATTTTTGCTTTACTCACTCCTGGTAGACTCCACTATAGTTTGGTAATGTCTATACAACTTAGATTTGTTTGTTTCAATGGACATTTCCAATATTCCTCAGTGATAATTGTGATCAGGGTGACAGCTTTCTGGATCTGGCCTATTCTCCAAGTTAGAGTCCTTGTCCCTTTTCTCCTTAGAATGATGTTTGTCTGAATGGAAGCCAGTGGGCTGACTTCATCCTGCTCTCCTTTTGTTCTGGCTTGTTGAGCTTATGTTGTCTTCCAAGTTTTGTCTCATAGTTGTGGTGGATGGGTGTGATCTCTGGACAACAAGTTTATGTGGGCAGGGACTTGTACAGACAAAGCTCTGTATTTTCCAGAGTTTGGATATGGACAAAGACAGAACTCCCTAGATTAGACTTTTCTTCTCAGTGCAGAAGCATAAACATGATTTCTTATTCTATGGATTATTGAGAAAATGACGGACTGACTGCATTGTAGTTCCAGAGCTCGATGGTCAATCAAAAGGGACATAGCAAGGATCTGGGCAGACTGCTGGAGACCAGGAGAGAGACAGAGGTTACTTGATCAGTCCTGTTAACTGACAAATGGTAGCCACCTCAGTGATAGAATAGTGTTTACGCCGGCGCCACGGCTCAATAGGCTAATCCTCCACCTTGCGGCGCCGGCACACCGGGTTCTAGTCCCAGTCAGGGCACCGGATTCTGTCCCGGTTGCCCCTCTTCCAGGCCAGCTCTCTGTTCTGGCCAGGGAGTGCAGTGGAGGATGGCCCAAGTGCTTGGGCCCTGCACCCGAATGGGAGACCAGGAGAAGCACCTGGCTCCTGCCTTCGGATCAGCGCGATGCGCCAGCAGCAGCGCGCCGGCCGCCGTGGCCATTGGAGGGTGAACCAACGGCAAAGGAAGACCTGTCTCTCTGTCTCTCTCACTGTCCACTCTGCCTGTCAAAAATTAAAAAATAAAAAATAAAAAAAGAATAGTGTTTACATTAGGTCTATTTCTTTTTTTAAGAAATACAGAGATAATAAGGAAACACATACCTCCAGTGTCTATCATTAAAAATTTGTTTTGATGCCTAGTTCTTTTTATCTTAAGGGCTCAGAGAGGATTTATCAGCTGTGGATCAGTTCTGGCAAGGAAGAAACTCCCTACCCACTCACTGGTGTCAGGGAAAAGCTAAAATGAGATTGATTAGATTCAAAATTGTAACTATAAATCTCAAAGTCCTGATGGTTTATTCTTAAACTTGAGTACCTCACACATAAAGATCTCATGCAATCAGCATTATACATTACAAAACTAATTACCAAGCACTTTCTCTATCCCAGGTGCCTGGTAATAGATCTTCATTGAATAACTTTATCTTGGAAAGAACAATTTTAAATTTTCCTCTCTGCTTTTCCACCTGGCTAACAGAGCTTTTTTGGAAAATTTATTATTGTTGGCTATGAAATTAAAATGAAGTACAATTTTTTTTACCTTTATACATTTTTTGGGGGGTAGACTCTTGAAGACCTCTGTTCCATTTCCTAGCTTCCAGGTGGCCTGTATTTTTGTAAGGATTTTCTGATATCCAGTCATACTTTTGAATCCACCTACAAATATTTATTTAACACCTACTGTTACCGGAGAAATTGCAGGGTTCTTGTCTTTGCGCAAGAAAGAATTCAGGCGTGAGACAGAGTATTGGGAGGTAAAATAGCAAGGTTTATTAGGGAAGTGATATCCGAAAGGATGGATGGGCACCTCTCCAGACAGGACCTGGGAGGGTGCCCAGTTGCTTGGATTGGGGGGGGTGGGAACGAGGTTACATGGTTGGGTGGAGAGATGACACCTGGCCAGACCAGGTGGGTGACTCAGCATAGAGGCAGAGGGTGAGCTCGCGGTCCAGTTGAGGCGCGGATGTGTGTGTGTGTGTGTGTGTGTGTGTGTTAAGGAGATGGGTCTTGCTTCCCCACCTCTGCTCCTCTTGGAACAAAGGGCTTTTTGGATGTAAATAGAAAAACTTCTATCTGAGTTTTCCCCTGAAGGTATCAGACAGGAGGAAGCCTAGCTTGCGCCATCCGCCATCCTGAGTTTAGAGGAAGGGTGAGCAAGACCCCTGGAGAATGGGGATCCGGAGCAGGGTGTTTGAAGTGCAGATTCTGGGCTGCATCTGGGAGATTGTGGAAGATTTGTCAGGCAGAAGGGGCAGGGACCTCCACCTGCCAGGTTTTCAGGTAGAAAGGGGCAGGGCAGGATGCAAATACCTGGCTGCCCCTGAAACATTGTCAGGATGACTTTGAGATGCAGATGCATATGCTGGACGTAGAAGTCTTCTCCAGAGGCCTTTGTCATACACACATAAGCTCATACCTAACTTCCTGCCTAACACTACTGTATGCCCAGAATTTTTTTTCAGTATCAGAAAGAAAATTTTATAATCACATTCAATCCTAAAGCCTGTTCTGGATGACTAATCTGTAAATTTCAACCATATCTTAGGTTGAGTTTCCCAGTATTTGATCTTGAGGTTATTAATAATACATTATGCCTCTCCTAAAATAGTTGTTGAAAGAATTTAGCTAGAGGAAGCATTTTATGGATGTGCAAATTTGCTCAATGTATCTCGCAGAAACAGAATGATTAAAAGGAGAGGATGGACAGTATTTGTCACAGACTTGCCAGTATAATGATAATGATAATTTCTGCCAGAATCATAGAGAATTCCCTCTTATATGCATTATATTCTTTTTATTATTTCTACAACCTTGTAAGGCCATCACCATGTAATTTAGGATGTTTTAACATTATCTGAAAATCCTAAAACACCAGTTTCATTCCATGGAATGTACATTGCCAGTCTTAGAAAACAGATGTCACTAAGTATCATCTGAAGACAAAATCCACCTATCCATTTTGTGTGTTCACTTAATGTTAACATCTTTGTGAAAGTCAGTCAATAATAAAGTAAATATAAAAAATTAAATACTGGAAATACATTTATTTTAATGCATTCTGTTAATCTAGATAAAACATTGTCTGGAGGATAACTTGGACCTAGAACAGCTTCACACCTCATGGCTTGTTTTAAGGAAACCTAAGAACATGTCACTCACAGTGGCCCCTTAGTGGCCATTCTGAATGTGTATTTTAACAGATTCTCAATTCTCAATTGTGGATTAACTTCCAATTATCCTGATGACTTGGCTTTATTGTATTGCTGTGATAGAAGCTGCTTTTCCTGTAAAAGAGAAGTTACTATAATTTTGTTGTGAACAGAGTTATGTATGACTGATGAAAAGAAAAAGCAAGAACTTACCAACTTTCATTCAGTGATAAATGAGAACTGGAAAATTTACTCTGTTGTTAAAAACCACAGTCTCTTCAATAGCAAATAATCTTTTACAAGGTTTATCTATTTGAGAGGGGGAGAATGGAGGGAGACAGAGACAGAGAGAGAGGGAAAGAGAAATCTCATCTGCTGATTCACTCACTAAAGACCCAGGACAGCCAGATGTGGGATGCGGCAGAAGCCAGGAAATTAGTCTAGATCACCACATGAGTGGCAGGAACGTAATTACTTAAGTCATCAGCACTGCCTACCAAAGTCTGTACTAGCAGAAAGCTGGAGTCAGGAACCATGGCCGAAGGTGGAATCCAAGTAGTCCAGTGTGGGACATGAGTATCTTCACTGGCATCTCAACTTCTATGCTAAATGCCCAACCACAGCACAAGATCTTTGAGAATTCCTTGAAGAGGAAGCAATTTAAAGCATGAAAGAGAAAAACAAATGACTGCTGGCAACTCCTGATGAGTACAAGTGTGGTTTTTACACTCTGAAAACAGTGTTTTGTACATTGCCCCTATGTTTCCAACATGCAGGATCCTCCCATCTGCTAGCTAGCAGTCATGGACTCCTGAGAGGGCAGCAGTGGGAGGAAAGTGTATTAGCAAACAATGGTCTCGCTGCTCCTAAGGGACCATTGCTATGGCACTGACAAAAGGAAGTGAAGTCTCTCTTTATTAAAAAATGTTATATGTGAGAAATTTCTATTCATTGTGATTCTTGACACATATACTACAATTATTTAAAGAATGCTTAGTATGGATGTTTATGGATATACTTCCCTTTATCCTTAGCAGTGTATGTAATAGGGAGGGTCAGTGTTTAAGATGACAAATAAAAGACTAGAAGGGTCAAGTGATTTGCATAAGATGTAAAAATCAAGTAGATTTCAGGTCAGAAACTAATAGACCTTAAATATTTCAGTTGAAAACACAGTCACCATTGTGCAATGAACTAATTATTGATCTATGCATTCCAAGGAAAGCAATAGGTTTCAAATTTTTTCTCATCAGTTTTTTTTAAAATATGTATTTCTTTATTTGAAAGAGCTAAAGAGAGAGAGAGAGGAGGGGAGAGAGAGAGAGATCTTCCATAAGCTGGCTCATTCCCCAGATGGCCTCAATGGCCAGGGCTGAGACAGGCCAAGGAGCTTCATCATGTTTTTTCAAATGGGTGCAGAAGCCCAAACACTTGAGCCATCTTCTGCTGCTTTTTCCAGACCATTAGCAGGTAGCTGGATCACAAGTAGAGCAGCCAGGACATGAACTGACGTTCATTTGGGAGGCTGGCATCAGAGGTGGAGGCTTTACCCACTATGCCATCATGCCGACCCCTCTCTCTAGTTTTTGAAAACTCTTTAGGCACCTGCAGTGCCTTCTTTATGCAGTGTTTCTTTATGCAGTGCCTTCTTTATCTCAGTGTTTCCACAAAGAGAGTGCACATGATGCTCACTTATTAGAGGCAGCCTTCTTCCTTCCAGAATCCCCAGGAGGACTTCAGCAGGCCACAGTGCAGTGCCCATGCTGATGACAAGGTATGTTTGATCATACCCATCACCATAAGCTTGATCCATATTGATATTTTTCTCTGCATAAGGCATGAACATCCCTAGCTTCACTCCTTCCACAGGGACACAGGAAGTCCACTCTGATATGGTGTAGGTACCCTAAGTGGTGGCTCAACATGCTGAACTACAGTGCCCACCCTTGTGTTTATTTAAACTACAGTTGAACACGTTGACATACAATAGCCTCCTGTATTGGACAATGCATACCTTCTCTTTTAAAATGTTGGAGGTGTGAATGCCAGATGGTGACATTGTTTTGTGACTGTATGCTATCTACAAGCTACCAAAGCAGGTAGAGGCTGGAGGTAGAATCTGCTTTAGAAGGAGACTGATGTCTCAGCTGCCTTAGGGATGCTATGAAACAAGCCTTGTGCTGAGTAGAACATTATGATATTCACTTGAATGAAGAGTAGATAGAAATACTCATGTTCAAGTTGAGGAAACTGACATTCACAAAGTTTCAAATTACTTGTCCAGTTAAGTAGCAGGAATCAGCCCATCCTGTCATCTCTAACTCACCACCATGAGCATTGCCTCAATGTGTGTGTACAATGGTGATGTCCTAGATATCCCAGAAAAGCCAGATGGGAGGCAATTCAAGGGTATTTAATGAAATGTTGCCTATTTGTCTATCAGGCTATGCTTTGATTCCTCTGTTGACTTTTACAGCATTTGATGTCTATACCTTACTCAAGAAATTATTAAGAGAATGTATTGCGAAAACATGCGCCAGCGCTGCAGCTCACTAGACTAATCCTCCACCTTGCGGCGCCAGCACAACAGGTTCTAGTCCTGGTCGGGCGCCAGATTCTGTCCCGGTTGCCCCTCTTCCAGTCCATCTCTCTGCTGTGGCCAGGGAGTGCAGTGGAGGATGGTCCAAGCGCTTGGGCCTTGCACACCATGGGAGACCAGGATAAGTACCTGGCTCCTGCCTTCGGATCAGCGCGGTGCGCTGGCCGCGGTGCGCTGGCCGCAGTGCGTTGACCGCAGCGCACCAGCCGCGGCGGCCAATGGAGAGTGAACCAATGGCAAAGGAAGACCTTTCTCTCTGTCTCTCTCTCTCACTGTCCACTCTGCCTGTCAAAAAAGAAAAAAAAGAAAGAAAACATGCAAGCTGAATGGTGGAAACAGTGAATCCGGCTTCTCATTACTGATCACCTTTTCAGTGAAAAACACTTCTTCACCTCTTTTGTGGCAAGAACTGCTGGGTAGTTAAAAATCTTCTGCATAGCTTGGCAGGATGTCAGAGGATCAGCGTCACATGGATCATGTCACACAAGCAGAGACACCAACTGGAAAATGTAGAATCAGGTCGTCCATGGGGATGCCTGAGGTTGCAGCACTTCAGAGTGAAGGAGCCACAGGACGTCTGAGAAGTAGGATCAGACAGGTTGCGTCAGGAAGGACAGTTCCTTTTGATGTGAAATATCTGTCAGCGAGTAGTCATTCAAAATGCTCGACAGGAAGTCTCAGAGTTGAGGAGACTTACTATGAATGTAGATGATGATCAAACTCAATTGATTTGAATATCATTTTTTAGTGTTTTTTGAGGGAGGTTGGATTTATATCTATTTTAGTTTTTTTAAAAAAATCACTTAAAATGTAGAGAGTATATACATAAACATATATACTATTTTTTTCTTAAAAATTGAAATGTTAAGATCACAGAGTGAGGGTTTCAAGATAATGATTGTGAAGTGGTGAAAGAAAAGTATATTGCTGTTTACATGACATGGTTCAGTGAAGCAATATTTATAATTAAGTATCAAGTGATATAGCACCCATACAGTTTTTAAACTCTCTCTATAGACTAACTTCCAAAAATAAGAGAAAGTATACTTGCCTTTCTGGGTTTGGCTTATTTCACTTAGTATGTTATGGTCTTCGGTTATATCTATTCATTTGCAAATTTCAGGATTTCATTCTTGCTCAAAACTGAGTCATATTCTATCATATGTCTATATATTTATATATGTATATATAAAATATGTTCTTTTTCCAATCATCAGTTAATGGGCATCTGGGTTGATTCCATATCTTAGCTATTATGGACTGAGCTGCTATAAGCATGGGAGTACAGGTATGTTCTTGATATGCTGAGTTCATTTCCTACAAATACATTCTCAGGAGTGTGATGACTAGGTCATGTGGAAGAAGTATTTTTAGTTTTCTGAGGCATCTCCATACTGTTTTCCCTAACAGTTGTACCAATCTCACTATTTTTGCTTTTATTGTCTGTGCTTCTTGGGTCTTATCCAAGAAGCCTTTGCCAAGGACAATTCTTGCAGCATTTCTCCTATGTTTTCCTCTGTTAATTTGGTGGTTTCTGGTATTAAATTTAGATCCTTGATCCATTGAGAGTTGATTTTTGTGAAGGGTTTAAGGTAAGGGTCTTGTTTTCTGCATATGGAAATCCAATTTTCGCAACAACACTTGTTGAAGAGATTGTATTTTCTACAGGGAGTGATTTTAGCTTGTTTGTCAAAGATTAGTTGGTTGTAGATGTGTGGATTAATTTCTGGGGTTTCTATTCTGTTCCATTAGTCCACATGTCTATTTTTGCACCAGTACCAGGCTGTTTTGATTATAACAGCCCCGTAGTATGTCTTGAAATATGGTATCATGATGCCTACAGCTTTGTTTTTATTGGTTAAGAGTGCTTTTGGCTATGTGTGGTCCCCTCTCTATCCATTTAAATTTTAGTATTGTTTTTTATAATTCTCTGAAGAATTTCTTTGTAATTTTGATTGGGATTACATTGAATGAGCTAATATGGACATTTTTATATTAATTCTTCCAATCCATGAATATGCAAGATTATTTTTTTCTGTGACTTCTGTTTCTTTCTTTAATGTTTTGTAATTTTTATTGTAGAAGTCTTTCACATCCTTGTTAAATCTATTCCAGGGTATTTAAATTTCTTTGCAGTTATTTAAAATAAGATTGATATTAAAAGTTATTTCTCAGCCATAATATTGTTGGTCTATAAGATCGCTATTGATTTTTGTGTATGGATTTTACATCCTACAATTTTGCTGAATTCTCTTTATTATTTCTAATATTCTCTTAGTGGAGTCTTTTGGTTCCTCTATATAAAAAAAGGATCATCTCATCTGCAAACAGGGATAATTTGACTTCCTCCTTTCCAATTTGTATCCCTTTGATTTCTTTTTCTTACCTAATGGCTCTGGCTAAAAATTCAAGAACTATATTGAATAATAATAGTGATAATGGGCAGTCTTATCTGGTTCCAGATCTTAGTGGAAATGCTTCCAACTTTTCTCTATTCAATATGATGCTGGCTGTGGGTTTGTCATTACTGCCTTGCTTATATTGAGGTATGTTCCTTCTTCATCCAATTTTTAGTTTTTTACTATGAAAGAATGTTCTATTTTATCATCCTTTCTCTGCATCTGTTGAAATAATCGTATGGTTTTTGTTCTTCATTTTGCTGATGTGATATATCAGGTTTATTTGTTCATTTGCGTATGTTGTATCATCCCTGCATCCCATTGATAAATCTCACTTGGTCTAGGAAGATGATCTTTCTGATGTGTTGTTGGATTTGATTTGCTAGTATATTGTTGAGGATTTTTGCATCTATGGTCATCAGGGATATTGGTCTGTACTTCTAATTTTTGTCTAATTTTGTCTGGTTTTGGAGGTAAGGTAGTGCTGGCCTCAGGCAGTGAACTTGGAAGAGTTCTTCCTGTACATATTCTTTTGAATAGTTTAAGATTATTTCTTAAAGATTTGCTAGAATTCAGTAGTGAAGCCATCTGGCCCTGGGCTTTTCTTTGTTGGCAGGCTCTGCTAATTTTTTTTTTTTCAAAAAACTTTTATTTAATGAGAACAAATTTCACAAGACAAATTTAGGAATATAGTGATTCTTCCACCTACCGGCCCTCCAACCCCCACTCTCACCAAACTTCCTCCTCCCTCTCTCATTCCCAGTCCCATTCTTCATTAAGAAAAAAAAAAAAAAAACTGTTCCTCAACAGTCAAGACAAGTGCTGTTCAAGTCATTGCTTCTCAAAGTGTCAATTTCACTTCTACAGCTTTCCTTTTAGGTGCTCTCTTAGTTATCACAGATCAGGAAGAACATATGGTATTTGTCCCTTTGGAACTGGCCTATTTCACTAAGTATGATGTTTTCTAGATTCATCCATTTTGTTGCAAACGACCAGATTTTATTTTTCTTTTACTGCTGTATATTATTCCATATAGTACATATGCCATAATTTTTTATCCAGTCTTCAGTTGACAGGCATTTAGACTGATTCCATATCTTAGCTATTTGAGCTACAATAAACATGAGAGTGAAAGATAACTTTTATTTGCTAATTTGATTTCCGTTGGATAAATTCCCAGGAGTGGAATGGCTATGTCTTATATTAGTTCTATATTCAGATTTCTGTGGTATCTCCAAACTGATTTCCATAGTGGTTTTACCAGTTTACATTCCCACCAGTAGTTTCCCCACATCCTTGCCAGCATTTCTTATTTGTTGATTTCTGTATGAAAGCCACTGGGGTGAGGTGAAACTTCATTGTGGTTTTGATTTGCATTTATCTGATGGTTAGCAATCCTGAGCATTTCTTTATGTGTCTGTAGGCCATTTGGATTTCCTCTTTTGAAAAATATCTGCTTAAGTCCTTTGCTCATTTCTTAACTGGATTGTTTGTTTTGTTGTTGTGTAGATTCTTCATCTCTTTATATATTCTGGTTATTAATCCTTTATCAGTTGCATAGTTTCCAAATTTCTCCCATTCTGTTGGTTGCTTCTTCACTTTCCTGAGTGTTTCTTTTGCAATGCAGAAGCTTCTCAATTTGATGTAACCACATTTGTCAATTTTGGCTTTGATTGCCTGTGCCTCTGGGATCATTTCCAAGAACTCTTTATCTATGCCAATGTCTTGCAAGGTTTCCCCAATGTTCTCTAACAATTTGATGGTATCAGGTGATAGATTTAGGTATTTAATCCATTTTGTATGGATTTTTGTATAAAGTGTAAGATGGGGGTCCTGCTTCATACTTCTAAATGAGGAGATCCTGTTTTCCTAGAACTATTTGTTGAAGAGAATGTCTTCGCTCCAGCGACGAGTTTCAGCTCTTTGAATGAATACAAGTAGGTTTTATATGCTTTGATTGATTTATGGTGTTTCTATTATATTACACTGGTCTATCCATCTCTTTTTGTGCCAGTACCTGGCTATTTTGATTTTAACTGCCCTGTAGTATGACTTGAAGCCTGGAATTATGATGCCTCTGGCTTTGTTTTTGTTTTATAAGATTGCTTTAGCTATTCGAAGTCTACTGTGTTTCCATATGAATTTCAGCATAATTTTTTCTAATTATGAGAAAAACGTTTTTGGTATTCTGATTGGTATTGCATTGAATCTGTAAATTTGTTTCAGAAAAATGGACGTCTTGGCCGGCGCCACGGCTCACTAGGCTAATCCTCTGCCTGTGGCGCTGGCACCCTGGGTTCTAGTTCAGGTCAGGGTGCCAGATTCTGTCCCAGTAGTTCCTCTTCCAGTCCAGCTCTCTGCTGTGGGCTGGGAGGGCAGTGGAGGATGGCCCAGGTCCTTGGGCCCTGCACCCACAAGGGAGACCAGGAGGAAGCACCTGGCTCCTGGCTTCAGATCAGCGCAGCGGCCATAGTGCATTGGCTGTAGCGGCCACTTGGGGGATGAAACAACGGAAAAAGGAAGACCTTTTTCTCTGTCTCTCTCTCACTGTCTAACTCTGCCTGTCCAAAACAAAACAAACAAAACAAAACAAAAACAGAAAAATGGACGTCTTTTTTTTTAACTTTTATTTAATGAATATAAATTTCCAAAGTACAGCTTATGGGTTACAATGGCTTCCCCCCCCCATAACTTCCCTCTCACCCACAACCCTCCCCTTTCCCGCTCCCTCTCCCCTTCCATTCACATCAAGATTCATTTTCAATTCTCTTTATATACAGAAGATCAGTTTAGCATATATTAAGTAAAGGTTTCAACAGTTTGAACCCACATAGAAACACAAAGTGAACAATACTGTTTGAGTACTAGTTATAGCATTAAATCACAATGTACAGCACATTAAGGACAGAGATCCTACATGAGGAGTAAGTGCACAGAGACTCCTGTTGTTGACTTAACAAATTGACACTCTTGTTTATGGCGTCAGTAATCACCCTAGGCTCTTGTCATGAGTTGCCAAGGCTATGGAAGCCTTTTTGAGTTCACGTACTCTGATCATATTCAGACAAGGTCATAGTCAGAGTGGAAGTTCTCTCCTCCCTTCAGAGAAAGGTACCTCCTTCTTTGATGAAAAAATGGACATCTTGATTATGTTGATTCTTACAATCCATGAACGTGAAAGATTTTTTCATTTTTTTATATCTTCTTCTGTTTCATTCTTTAATGTTTTGTAATTCTCATCATAGAGATCTTTGATATCATTGGTTAAATTTATACCAAAGTATTTTATTTTTTGTAGCTATTATGAATGGGATTGATCTTAGAAGTTCTTTTTAAGCCGTGGCATTTCTTTGTTTACAAAGGCTGTTGAATTTTTTTTTTTTTTTTTTTTTGACAGGCAGAGTGGACAGTGAGAGAGAGAGAGACAGAGAGAAAGGTCTTCCTTTTTCCATTGGTTCACCCTCCAATGGCCGCTGCGGCCAGTGCACTGCGGCAATGCACCGGGCTGATCCGAAGCCAGGAATCAGGTGCTTCTTCTGGTCTCCCATGTGGGTACAGGGCCCAAGGACTTTGGGCCATCCTCCACTGCACTCCCGGGCCACAGCAGAGAGGTAGACTGGAAGAGGAGCAACCGAGACAGAATCCGGCACCCCAATCGGGACTAAAACCCAGAATGCCAGCGCCGCAGGCAGAGGATTAGCCTGTTGAGCTGCGGCGCCCTGCAGCTGTTGATTTTTGTGTATTGATTTTATATCCTGATACTTTACCAAACTCTTCTATGAGTTCCAATAGTCTCTTGATGGAGTCTTTTGGATCCTCTACATATGGAATCATGTTATTTGCAAATAGAGATTTTTTTGATTTCCCAATTTGAATCCCTTTGATTTCTTTTTCTTGCCTAATTGCTCTGGCTAAATCTTCCAGGACTATATTGAATAGCAATGGTGAGAGTAGTCATTCTTGTCTGATTCTGGCTCTCTGTGGGGATGCTTCCAACTTTTCCCAATTTAATAGAATTCTGGCCATTGGTTTGTCATAAATTGTCTTGATGTCTTGAGGAATGTTCGTTACTTCTAAACCCAATTTGCTTAGAGTTTTCATCATGAAAGGGTGTTTATTTTATCAAATGCTTTCTCTGCATCTATTGAGATAATCATGTTTTTCTTCTTCAGTTTGTTAAGGTTATGTGTCACATTGATTGATTTGCAAATGTTGAACCATCCTTTCATACCAGGAATAAATCCCACTTTGTCTGGAGGAATGATCTTTTTGTTGTGTTTTTTTTGTGTTCGATTGGACAGAATTTTGATGAGGATTTTTGCATCTATATTCATCAGAGAAATTGGTCTGTAGTTCTCTTTCTCTGTTGCATCTTTTCTGGGTTTAGAAATTAAGATGATGCTGGCTTCATACAAAGAATTTGAGAGGATTCCTGCCCTTTCAGTTGTTTTGAATAACTTGAGAAGTGGACTTAGTTCTTTAAATGTCTGGTAGAATTCAGCAGTGAAGCCATCTGTTCCTAGGCTTTTCTTTGTTGGGAGGTTCTTTATTATTGATTCTGTTTCTGTATTGGTAATGGGTCTGTTTAGGTTTTCTACGTCTTCA